TTTGATAAAGTACAGTACCCATGAAAAAAACACTCAGCAAAGTGAGAGTAGAGAGAACATTCCTCAACATAATAAAAACCATATACAAGAAACCTACAGCCAACATCATAGTCAAAGAGCTAAAACTAAAAGCTTTCCCACTAAGATCAGGAACAAGACAAGAGGGTCCACTTTCACCACTTCTATTCAACATAGTATTGGAAGTTCTGGCCATAGCAATTAGACAAGAAAAAGAAAATAAAAGGCAAATAAAGTGGAAAGGAGGAAGTAGAACTGTCATTATTTGCAGACAACATGATGGTGTATACAGAAAACCCTATAGACTCCATCAAAAAATTACTCAACCTAATAAGTGAATTTGGCAAAAGAGCGAGATACAAAGTAAATATTCAGAAATTGAAGCCATTTTTGTATACCAACAATGAACTATCAGAAACAGAAATTAGGGGGGGAAATCCCATTTACTATAGCAACAAGAAAAATAAAATACCTAGGAATAAACTTAACTAAGGAGGTAAAAGATTGTACTCAGAAACTACACAACACTGAAAAAAGAGATTAAGACACAAATAAATGGAAGTATATACTGTGTTCATGAATTGGAAAAATTAACATCATTAAAATCTCCATACTACCCAAAGCAATCTATAGATTCAACATAATCCCTATCAAAATACCAATGGCATATTAAACATAGAACAAATATTTCAAAAATTTATATGGAACCATAAATGACCCCAAATAGCTGCAGCAATTCTGAAAAAGAATGAAGTAGGAGGGTTCACCATACCTGATATCAAAATCTATTACAAGGCCACTGTAATCAAGACAATCTGGTACTGGCGTAAGAACAGACACATAGACCAATGGAACAGAATAGATAGCCCAGAAATAAACCTATGACTCTATGGTCAATTAATATTTGACAAATGGTGCAGAAGCATAAAATGGAGTAAAGATAGTCTCTTTCAACAAATGGTCTTGGGAGATCTGGACAGCCACATGCAAAAAAATGAACTAAACCACGAACTTATACACCAGAATATACTCAAGATGTATAAAAGACTTAAATATAAGTCATGACACCGTGAAAGTCCTAGAGGAGAACACAGGCAGGAAAATTTCAGATATTCCAGACAGCAATATTTTCACTGACACATCCCCTAGGGCAAGGGATATAAAGAATAAACAAATGGGACTACATCAAAATAAAAAGCACAGCTAAAGAAACCATCATCAAAATTAAAAGGGAACTGACCTTATGAGGGAACATATTTGCCAATGATACCTTGAACAAGGGTTTGACCTCCAAAATATATAAAAGAACTCACATGACTCAACCAGGAAGACAAACAATCCAATTAAAAAATGGGCTAAAGACCTAAACAGACACTTCTCCAAGGACATACAGATGGCCCGTAGATTATGAAAGGGTGCTCCACATCACTAGCCATCAGAGAGATGAAAATTAAAACCACAATGAGATACCACTTCATACCAGCCAGAATATTCATCATTAACAAAATAATGAACAAGTGCTGGTGAGGTTTTGGAGAAAACAGAACCCGAGTACACTGTTGGTGGGAATACAGACTGATACAATGTGGAAAACAGTATGGAATTTCCTCAGAAAACTAAAAATGGAACTGCCTTTTGATCCAGTAATTTCATTGCTAGGATTGTACCCTAAAAACCCTGAAACACCAATTCAAAGAACCTATGCACCCCAATGTTCACAGCAGCACAATTTACAATAGCCAAGTGCTGGAAACAGCCTAGGTGCCCCTAAGTAAGTGTCTGGGTCAAAAAATTGTGGTGCATTTACACAATGTAACAGTACATAGCAGAAAGAAAGAATGAACTCCTACCCTTCCAGACCACGTTGATGGAACTGGAGAGCATTATGCTAAGTGAAATAAGCCAGGTGGTGAAAGACAAATATTATAGATCTCACCTATAAATGGAACCTAATGAACAAAACAAACAAAGGGCAAAATATAACCAGAGACGTGAAAATAAAGAACAAACTGATAGTGACCAGAGGGGAGGGGAGGGGGGAAATGGGGAAAGAAAGGGAAGCGGCAAGTCAAGGAACCTGTATAAGGGATCCATATGCATGGACAACAGGATGGGGATAGACTGTGGAGTGGTGGATGAGGGGCAGGAGGTGGGGTTAGCAGGGCAGGGGAGAGCCATGGGGAAAAATGTGGGACAACTTGTGTTGAACAACAATGTAAAAAAAATATTCTGGACTTTCAGCCAAGATGGACAAGTAGGTAGATACACTTCACCTCCTCAACAAGCAAAAGGACGACAATAAATTTAAAAACAAAAAAATAATCAGAAATGCCAGAAAATCAAACTGTATGGAAGTCTGACAATCAAAGAGTTAAAGAAGAAAGACTCATCCAGACTGGTAGGAGGGGAAGAGACAGGCAGCTGGGGTGGAAAGGACTCACAGCAAGGCAGTGGCTGGCAGACCGGGCAGTCCCACATTCGTGTGCAGCTAAACCAGGAGGAACATCAGGGGAGCAAGACAGACCGTGTAAGCCAGGGTTCCAGCACAGGGAAATAAAGCCTCAAAACCTCTGAATGAAAAAATACTGTGGAGGTTGAGGAGGCAGAAGAAACTCCCAGCCTCACAGGAGAGTTTGTTGGAGAAATCAACAGGGTCCTGGAATGTACACAAACCCACCCACACGGGAATCAGCACCAGAAGGGCCCAGTTTGCTAGTAGGTAGCAGGGGAAGTGACTGAAAGCCAGCAGAGAGCTGAACAAGCGGCATTGTTCCCTCTCAGACCCCTTCCCCACATACAGCACCACAACACAGTGAGTGGGTTGCCCTGCCTTGGTGAACACCTAAGGCTCATCCCCTTACTACATAGCAGGCATGCCAAAACAAAAAAAATATATAGCCCAAATGAAAGAACAGATCAAACTTCCAGAAAAAAATAAAACTAAGCAATGAAGAGATAGCCAACCTATCAGATGCAGAGTTCACAACACTGGTAATCAGGATGCTCACAGAATTGGTTGAATATGGTTGCAAAATAGAGGAAAAAGTGAAGGCTATGAAAAGTGAAATAAAGGAAGGTACACAGGGAATCAACAGTGAAGGGAAGGAAATTGGGACTCACATCAATGGTTTGGAGCAGAAGAAAGAAATAAACATTCAACCAAAACAGAATAAAGAAACAAGAATTCAAAAAAAAAAAAAATGAGCAGAGGCTTAGGAACCTCTGGGAAACTTTAAATGTTCCAACATCCAAATCATAAGGGTTCCAGAAGGAGAAAACGAAGAGCAAGAAATTGAAAACTTATTTGAACAAATAATGAAGGAGAACTTCCCCAATCTGGCAAAGGAAACAGACTTCCAGGAAGTCCAGGAAGATCAGAGAGTCCCAAAGAGTTGGACCCAAGGAAGTACATACCAAGGCACATCATAATTACATTGCCCAAGATTAAAGATAAGGAAAGAATCTTAAAAGCAGCAAGAGAAAAGGAGACAGTTACCTAAAAGGAGTTCCCATAAGACTGTCAGATGACTTTTCAAAAGAAACCTTACAGGCAAGAAGGAGCTAGAAAGAGTATTCAAAGTCATGAAAGACAAGGACCTACATCCAAGATTATTCTATCCAGCAAAGCTTTCATTTAGAATGGAAGGGCAGATAAACTGCTTCCCAGCTAAGGTCAAATTAAAGTAGTTCACCATCACCCAGCATTTATATGAAATGTTAAAGGAACTTATCTAAAAAAAAGATAAAAAATGCAAACAGTAAAATGACAACAAACTCACAACTATCAACAACCGAGCCTAAAAACACAAAAATGACCTAAGCAAACAACTAGAACAGGAACAGAATCACAGAAATGGAGATCCCATGATGGGTTATCAGTCGGGAGAGGGTGGGAGAAAAAATGGGGCAAATGGTGTAGGGTATGAGAAGCATAAATGGTAGACACAAAATAGAGGGAGGTTAAGAATAGTGTAGGAAATGGAGAAGGCAAAGAACTTATATGTACGACCCATGGACTTGAACTAAGGGGGGGGAATGCTGGAAGGAGGGGGGTACAGGGCAGAGTGGTTAAAAGGGAGAAAAAGAATGGGACAATTGTAATAGCATAATCAATAAAATATACTTTAAAATTTTGAAAAAAAATTTGAAAAGATATTTCCTTGATAAAAGTTGCTTATATAATTGGAAACCATAAAAATCAGTTAATTTTCTCCCAAAACTTTATACTTCATTGTGATTTTTTATAGTTTCATGTCTTCTTAGGCTATATTTAAATATGCAAATGGTTGGCAGAGTGACAATATGATTGCAAGAGTTAAATGACTGTCATGCCTTTTATGCTATGTGTTCATTCTAAATCCACTGTTATTACTCAGGTAAATTTAAAAGTGTCCCAATATATTATGAGTCTTAAATGTGCATTATTTCTTTTTACTAACCTAATGGCTTAAATGGAGGACATGAGAGAGTTTTAGGGAAGTAAAATTATTTGTCATTGGGCTTCACCCCAAAACTGTACATATGAAAGCCTTTTTACATGAGCATGAGGTATAATTTTGTACAACAAACCTACCTTAAATTTTTTTAAAAAGAGAGTATTAAAGAAAAGGAAGTCACGGACAGATAATATACCTACTAAACATATACCTAGTGGCCTTAACCAAACTACATTTTTAAAATTAGTAAGTCTTTTTCACAGAAAGAGTCAATGGTGGCATAGCAAATGTTGGAATACAAAACTTTCTTACAAACGTAAGCCTCATTCAAAAAAAAAAAAAAAGAGGGAAGGAGGAGGAAAGGGAGATGAAAGGAGCAACAGACTTCTCATAAAATGATCTAAAGTAAAAATCAAGAAACCTGCGAGTGCTCCCAGCACACCCTCTAAAGAGGAACCTTAAAATGGGATGTCAACGGCAACCCTCATTTATCAATTGCTAGAGGTCAGGAGGAGGAGTTTAAATCATTTCTAAACAGCAAAGTACCTTGAAGGACACAGGCTCTGGTGAGAGCACCTCCAAAGAAGCACTCGAACATCTGCTCCCAGGACGGGTTCTTGAATGTGAGGCTGGTCTTGAAATTCCATCTAAGTTCCCCTTTATAATATCCATTGATGTCCTGAAACAAAAATTTTAAAGCAAGTTATGACATGTGTTTAAATGTTTCATTAGTGTTAATATGCAATTCAGAACCTTTGTTATAAGGATTATGTTACTACCAAAGTCACACCACCCTAATTTCATGAAAAGATGTCTGTGTTTGTGGATCATTAAATCTCATGTCACTGTGGGTTGAAAACGCGCTGTTTAGGATGTTACATTCTCAAAGTGGCTAAAACACAATGCAGAAGTGAATGCCACCTTAATGGCTTCCAGTGCCTCCAACAGGAACATTTACTGTGTCCTTGGACTGAGAATACTCTCACGGAGCACCACACCTCTCAACCAAGATTCATGTTTTATCGTAATGACTGGCTAAGGGCTCTATTTTATTCTGGCTTTGCCTTCCTTATTGCAGCCTTTCCCATTCTAGCTCAGACTTCAGCCCAGTCTTCTCTCCCAGCTCCATTTCTCCTCTTCTCCTTGGTGCCACATTTTCATGTAGTGCCTACCTCCAGGTCACTGCTCTTTTTCTATCAATCCCCACCCCCACCCCCCACTTCTAAAACTCATGATACTACTTCTGCCCTCTGACTCAACAGAGAGCAAAACCTACTTTCTCTACCAGGGGACAGATTTTCATTATCTGCCTATATACAAGGTCTGTCCAGCAAGTATCAAGCCATGTAATATGAAAAATAGAGGCATTTATTGAAGAAGATACAAGATACAAGAAACACTGTACATAGGACAATGACACCTCTGTCCCCCTCAAAGTAGGTACCTTGGGATCTCACACAGTTCTCCCAATTGCCATCATCTGCCCCATCGTATTTTCCTGAATTTCATCGACAGTCTGGTATCTCTTCCCTTTCAAAGGTGATTTTAGTTTTGGGAAAAGCCAGAAGTCTCAGGGTGCCAAATCTGGGCTGTAGGGGGTCTGAGTCACCCGAGTGATTTGATGTTTCACCAAAAAACTCTCTCCATAAGATGTGATGCAAGAGCAGGCATGTTATTATGATGAAACTGCCCATCACCAGTTGCCCATAGCTGAGGCCTTCTGAATCATTCGAATAGTTTCCACAGAGGAATGTTCAAGCTTAATGCAAATTTTCATGCAGACTTGTTACTCTACTTGCTCAGTCATTTTGAATGTGACAGCCACACAGTACACATGCTCACTCAATGGTGTCTACCACCCCTACTGACCAGTAGATTGAAGTTGTCATTGTTTATACATGTGCATTCCAGTCTACTCTCCTTGGCTGCCAAGTTACTTCGTTATCGTGCAAACTGTTCACATAATATTAACAATGGCTGGACTTTTTCCAGACAGACCTCATCTATCACCAATCTCTTTAACTATTTTCTGTGTGATACCATCGACAGGCTTCCCATGACTTTAGCTGCTCTATTTCCAGTGCTGCTTTCTGAAGCAGGAAATATTAGGCAAGGTGGTTTAAACTAGTGGGAGAACTTAGGTACTGAAGGCATGTTGATCCTTCCAAACTGTGCCATTCATCAGGAACATTTGAGATGTGTTAGATAATGTATGGGTATTATGCAGGCTAAATATAATTGAAGAAATAGGGAGAATTCCATATTTTGCCTTCTTGATACTTAGCTTTTATGTGAATGAGCATCATCCAACAAATCTTTTCCTCAATTCCGATCAACTATGAATGAAACCATTTCTCTCATCACAAAATGAAGAAAGGCACTTGCATCTGGCTCAGGAAGTATAACAATGTCCTCTCCTTACCCTACAGAATGACTCCTCTTTCTCTGTTTCGAACAGCATAGGCAGAGCACAGGGAAGTTCTAGCTAGACACAGGAGGAAGCACAAACATAAACAACCTGATACTTCCCCAAGGCAGACAGAGGGATAATATGATTTGGTCTTCAACCATTCAGTGTGACAAAGCTGATGCTTAAGGGACCAGTAGGTCAACTCTTTCCATCTCAGCAAATGAAAAAGGCATTGATCTCAATGTTACTCAAACTTTGCAAAAGGGTGTGGGCTCAGGAAGGCACTGACATTATTATTGTGGAATGACGGATCACCCTGGCCCATCATGTCACAATCGAAAAGCATAAGGCACTGAAAGGCCAAATGTCTTCTAATGCCCTAAGCAGCTTGTCAGTGGAGACTTATGGCAGCTTACAGAAGGAACAGTGAGGTGAAAGCACGTGCAGAGCTAGTATAATGCAAGTCAGTAACAGCAGAGGCCTAGGAAACTGTCAGTGATGAGGATCAGCTAAAAGGCTCCTGAAATCTTTCAACTTGCTTTAGAAATAGGTCTATTATATTATTTTTGCTCTTGAAAATAATAAATTAAATTAAATACAGTTCCCAGGGTGAGTGGGAATATAACTAACAATCTTTGGATTTGGCCATATAGAAAAAGTAAGGACAAAGGGCATTGGATTAGGAACTTATAGATGGATTTGAGAGTTTGAGAAGAAATCTCAACAGCCACACAGAAGTGCCACAAGAAAAATGAAGCACTATACAAAAAAAAAAAAAAACAATCAAATGATAATAAAATACTTATAATACATAACACTAAATGTTGATTTAACCAAATACTGTGCCTTAGTTACATTGAATGTGTGAGGGAGGAGTGTGTAATAGGAGAGGTAGCATGAGAAATCGAATCTGTCGTAATAGAAAGTCTAAGAGAATGTCCAGAAATTGATAAAGCCAAACAACAGCTACATAAGCACCATATTTACAAGTACAGATGGTTGCCTCTGGAGAATGAGACTAAAGTTTGCTTCTTTCTTTTTCCATTGTAGATGTTATATTACAGTTCAGTATTTTATATTATATTACTTTAATAAGGGTAAACCTAATTTTTAAAATAATAATATAAAATATTAAATCTCCAGTGGACTTGAAGGAAACCTAAAGACAATTTACATAATTATGAGGTTAATGGCTTATCAAGCATGACATAAAGAGCATAAATAAAAACAGGAGAGACTAATAGATTTGGTTACTGTTTAATGCTCTTGAGTGGCAAACCTCACCCCCAAAAAACACTTTAAATTAAATTAAAGGCACCTGAGAAACTGGGGAAATGCATACAACATAAATGATACATAAAAGTTAATAAATTTACATATTTAAAGAGCTCTTATCAATAAATAAGAAAAAGAAACATTCCAATATAAAACTGGTTAAGGTCATAAACAAGAAATTCACATACCCCCCCCAAAATTGTCAGCATCTTCTAAAGAAAAAACAAGCCCAACATCTCTAATTACAGAAATATATAGAAAGGGACCTGAAAGAAGATCACAAATCAAAGAAGTAACAGAGGTGGGTTATAGATTGATGCCTCCATGGATGTTCTTGTGTCTTTTTTTTTTTTACTTTTTGCTTATCTGTATTTCTGGTTTCCTTTTCTTTTAAGTATATCTTGAATTTATAATTAAAAAATTTATTTATGATAAAAATTTTCTAGATTAAAGTATATTCAAAAATAAATAAAAGTCACCAATTATTCATCACCCTGAGCTAAATATTATTGGCACATTTCCATTCTGAGCTATGTCCTTTCAACAAAATTGGACTCGTAATTTCTCACTTAACATTGTAGGATGAGCAAATTCTCATTACATCAAAGATTAAATTAAAATAGAATGTTATTTACTTCATGATATATCATTAAATAAATGGATATATAACCAGATTCTAAATTGTAACAAGTCACTATAAAAATGTACAAAATTTTTACACCATTCATTTAAAACAAGATTAAACTTTTTCAAACAGCCTTGTGAGAAATGCAACTATCATGGATAATTTAAAACCAAAATGGGGACACATGGCCACTGTGATCTGATATTTCTTGGATGAATGGAAGAATCAAAAGAAAATGAATCCTCCTCTGTTTAGTAATAATGAATAGCCAACCTGAAGGAAAAAAAGTAGCCTTACATTTATTTTCATTATTTTAATGTCTAAAAAATTATTTCATGGTAGTTCTTTTAACTTTATATACTTACTATATAAGAAATACTTTTCTAGACTTCTGGTCAAGATGGAGGTGTAGGTAAACACAATTTGCCACCTCGAACAAGAACAGGGTCTGGCAGAATTAATGCCTGCTTAAGTGTGGTTGGTAGCTAATAATATGGGTGTAATGATTTATAGTTCTTAATTTGAACATTTCACCTAAAATGTCCTATGGTGTGCTTGAGTGTGATATTGTTATGTTACATAATTACATACTTATATTGTATAATAAAAGATTTTGTAATAAAAAAGGGGTGTTATTTGTGCCATACCCTGTATTGCAGAAAATACGACTATAAAACAAATATCACCCAGAACTGTCAGAAAATCAAGCTGTATGGAAGTCCAACAACCAAAGATTTTAAGAAGCCATATTCATCCAGTCAGGTAGGAGGGGCAGAGACATGCAGAGAGCAGAGAGGTGCAGAGAGGTGGATAGGGATGGAGAGGTGCAAAAACACAGAACAGGTGGTCCTATATCCACATGCGGTAGATAAAAATCTGAAGGGATACCTTAGGAGCGAGGGATCCTAGGCCCAGACCAGACCACCTAGCCCAGGGTTCCAGCACCAGGAAGATAAGTCCCTGTAACTTTTGGCTGTAAAAACCAGTGGAGGTTGGAGTGGTGGAAGAAACTGCAGGATTCTCAAGAGATCTGCCTTAAGGGTCTCCAAAAAACTTAGGACTCAGGCAGACCCACCTATTCTGGGATTCAGCACCATGACAACAGCTAGAAGGGTATCAATGTCATATGGGGAGAAAGTGAAGTGACTGGCAATGGGTCAAGTGCTGGGAGACAGCTTCCTCCCAGACAAAACTCCAGAGGCCAGGCAGTGCCACTGTCCCCTCTCTGAGCCCTCCCTCAACACAGAGCAACAGAGCAGTGACATGGGTTGCCCCACCCTAGCAATTACCTAAGGCTCCACCCAATCCAAATTGTGGGTATGCTGTTCTACAATAGGCCCTGCTACTATGGGAGTCAAAGCAGCTCCAC